GATCAGGATCAGGAGGACGAGGAGGAGGAACGGGAGTGGCGTCATGAAAGTTACCACGGCAATAAGTGGCTTTTGGCAGCCACGCGTTCGTACCGACGCTGCTTTTCGATCCTGTGATGTCGGTTCCTGCTATCACTGGGACGCAAAAACCCCAACGTGTCTGATTGTTCGCCCGACAATAGGGAACGCGAGCTGCGTTTAGACCGTCGTGAACCAGGTTGGTTTCGCCTTCCTGAGGCATTCCTGACAATCATGATGATCAGGAGGAGGAGGAGGGGGGGGGAGAGGTGGAGGAGGAGGATGACGAGGATCAGGAGGACGAGGAGGACGAGCAGGAGGGTTGTCATAACATCTACCACAGGTATACTTGGCTTGTCGCAGCCACGCATTCGTACCGACGTTGCTTTTCATCCTCCGATGCCGGCTCTTGCAATCACTGATACGCAGGAGCCCTAAAGTGTCTGATTGTTCGCCCGACAAGAGGGAACGCGAGCTGGGCATACACCGTCGTGAGACAGGTTAGTTCCACCTTCCTGAGGCACTCTGTTGGTTATGAGGAGGAAGAGGGGGATGGAGAGGAGGAGGAGGAGGACGAAGATCAGGAGGACGAGGCAGAGGAGGAGCAGGAGGGGTGTCAAACAAATTGCCACAGGGATAACTCGCTTGTGGCAGCCACGCGTTCGTAGCGACGTTGCTTTTTGATCCGTCCATGTCAGCTCTGGCTATCAGTGAGACGCAGACGCCCCAATGTGCTTGATTGTTCGCCCGGCAATAGGGAACGTGAGATGGGTTCACACCGTCGTGGGACAGGTTAGTTTAACCTTCCTGAAGCATTCTGATGATGAGGAGGGGGGGGAAGGAGGAGGAGGAAGAGGAAGAGGAGGAGGAGGAGGAGGAGGAGGAGGAGGAAGAGGAGGAGGAGCAGGAGGACGAAGATCAGGAGGACGAGGACGACGACCAGGAGGGGTGTCAGATAAGTTACCACAGGGATACGTGGCTTGTGTCAGCCACGCGTTCGTAGCGACGTTTTTTTTGATCCGTCGATGTCGGCTTTTGCGATCACTGAGACGCAGAAGCCCCAACGTGTCTGATTGTTCGCCCGACAATAGGGAACGTGAGCTGGGCATGCACCGTCGTTAAACAGGTTCGTTTCAACTTCTTGAGGCACTCTGATGATGGGGAGGAGGAGGGGGAGGGGTTGGAGGAGGAGGAGGCGGAGGAGGATCAGGAGGACGAGGAGGAGGATCAGGAGGACGAGGAGGAGGATCAGGAGGGGTGGCAGACAAGTTACTACACCAATACCTGGCTTGTAGCAGCCACGCGTTCGTAGCAACGTTTCTTTTTGATCCTTCGACGTCGGCTCCTGATATCACTGAGACGCAGAAGCCCCAATGCATCTGATTGTTCGCCCGACAGTGGGGACGCGAGCTGGGTTTACATCGTCGTGGGACAGGTTCGTTTCATCTTCCCGGCGCAGAACCTCTTCGGCGTAATTTTTCCCGCGCACTGCACGCATTCTAGAGCGTTCTGGGACCTTTTGAGGTCAGTTTCGGCCGCCACCTGGCACCATGTGGGCGCCCGCTTGGCGCCGTGGGTCTTCTCCTGGGTCAGTGTTGTTGCACTTCTTGGGCTCTGTTCGGGCCCTATTGGAGGACCTCCTGGAGACGTTTTGACGCCAGTCTTGGAGCCTTTCCTTATTTTCCTTTGGCTTTCTTCCGGGGCCCGTTCGGGGCCTCTTCGCCCCTACCAGCCGAAGAGGCCTCGGAGAGGGCCCCAAGACAGCCCAAGAGAACACCAAGACGATTCAAAAGGCGCGCAGCAGGGCCACATGAACGCCTCCAGAGGGCCTCGATACGGCCGAAGAGATCCCTTGAGACCGCCAGCAGGCCCAAGGGGCCCCGACGGGCCCAAAGAGACCCCACAAGGCCCCCAAACGGCCCCCCAACGGCCCCAGAGATTTTCAAAACGACCCCCAAGAGACTCCCAAGAGCCTACCCTAAGGACCCCAGCAGGCATGCAAGAGAGCTCCGACCCACAACCCAGCCACGCTGGGGTGTCGGGCGTAGACAGCCTCAGACGGTCCAAGAAGCCTCCCAGACCAACCCAAGATGGCCAGATTCGCCTCGCCAGGATCGGTGTTGGTGGATCCCTGCAACACCTACTCCTGCTGCTTCTGCTTCTCCCCTTTGTCGACCCTGATCGTTCTGCTGTTGCTATTGCTGCTTCCCATCGAGAAGGGCGAAGGTGACGAGAGGCAGGGAGTTGGAGAACACGACGTCCCGTTCTCAATAAATCCCCATTTAACCTTCGGTAAATGGGTCATTGGCGTCTACGGCAACGTTCTCCCACCCCATTGGTATCACAACGAACATTCTGCATATTCCTAACTAGAATATAAGCGCGCGAAGCGCGCGTCGCGTGGTTCTAGCGCGCGTGGTTCTAGTGTACCTGTACATTCGTACATGCACATACACATGCACGTACGCGTACACGTCACATACACATGCACATACACATACACATACACATACACATACGCATACACATACATACATACATGCATTCACACACATACATACAGACCTACCTATCTACCTACATACATACATACGTACATACATACAATCACACATGTGAACAAATAGTAATCCCCACAGCGTCATAGCAAATCCCTGCCACGAAGCATTGACCCCTGTGTGCACAACGCTCGGGCAGAATGCTACCCCGTTTTCTTCATTCCTCCTCCCCTTCCTCCCCTCCCTCCTCCTTCTCCTCCCACTCCTCCACCCTCCTTTGCCTCCGTGGCCATTTGTTTTGTGCCTCAAGGCGGTATTGCCGTTTTGCATTCATTTCCAGGCATGTCGGCCCCGCCGATTATGTTCTTGCTTGCCTTGGGGCTGGCGCCGCGCCAGCTTGTCAATGAGCTTCACGGGATGCTAATGCGCAGCTACGCCGTCTTCACCGCGGAACATGTCGAGGGAATCGCTTAAGACGCACGCACATTTTTCGCCAACGGTGGACCTCGAACAGCATGAAGAACAATTTGATCAGGCTCGATCGCGCCCTCATCATGGTTGCCTCCTCGCGCAGTTTTTCATGGCAGCGTGCTCAACGAGCTGGGCAACACCGGTCTGACAGTAATACAAACGTTTTACCACATGTCGAAGTCGAGCACCACCGACGATGAGAGCTTCGCCGCCGTCCACGGTGCCCCTGCTTCTGTCGGTGCGCTGTCGTTGGCTTCCCCGCTATCCGTGCAACATCGGACACATCTTCGACCGCATCTTACTACGGCATCTATATTCGTGCGCAATGGCTTCGCTTGCAGCGTCGCGTACAACATCAGTTCCACCGTCGGGAACTCCAGCTGCGAGTGCGGCTATGTGTGCAGATTGATGTGCGTGGTTTTCGCGTTGTGTTCCGAGGGCGTGCAGGAGCACGAGGATAACTTCTGGCCGCCACAGGTGGAGTTCGGCCTGACGCAGGAGTCCGACATGGCGTACGTCGGCGATGTGGCCCCGGGCTGTTGGGAAGGTCGCCACAAAGGCTACGCAGGCTGGGGGGTCCTCGAGTTCGAGGGGTCCGCGGCTTTTTGGCTGCGGCATGGCATCGAGATGGGCACCGCCGCGGCGCCGACTGGCCGTGGGCGCAGGGCCACGCGTGGCCCACATCACGAGATCCCAGTTAGCTGCCTCTTGGGAGCGAGGTTTCAGGACCGGCGATGAAACGCTCTGGCACACTGGGCCGTTTTCCTCCTCCCCCTTTTCCTCGTCATCGTCTTTCCCCCCCTCCCTCCCTCCTCTGCCGCGCGGATGAAGACGTGTCATGCGTTTGCGATGCGAGTCTTGAGATTCTGGAGTGGTGCATCTCCGCCTGTTGCTCCGATGCGTCGCATTTCTTTGGTGCATCGCTCAGCTGCCGTGCTCACCGGGTGTAGTGCCTGTGCACTTGTTGCGTCGATGTGCAGAGGGTCTCATGTCTGCGCTGGTTCTATATTTGGTCGTTATGGAGCCTTCCTTCGGCCTCCCTCCTCCTCCTCCTCCTCCTCCTCCTCCTCTTCCTTCTCCTCCTCCTCCTCCCCCCTCCTCCGCATATACTTGGTGGTGATGGGGCCGTACCAGGAATTGCGTTTTGGAACGGTTCAGGATCGTCAGGGTGCATCAGTTACGTGGATTCGCGGTGTTGAAGTTCCAACAGTGGCTCTCTGGCACGATTCAGGATCGTCAAGACGCAATGGTGAGTTATTCGTGGCGTTGAAGTTCCGAGAATGGTGTATTGACACGTTTCAGGATCTTCCAACAGCGGTCTCTCAACGGGGCACTTCTTTCAGTGGGCATGCATCCTTGTAGGGGCTTATGAAGAGGGAGCTTGGAGGGAAGGTTTATCTTAACACCGTTGATGAGTCTTGCGTTTGCACCTTTCCTCCTCCTCCTATTCCTCCCTCCTCACTTTTCCTCCTTCCTCCTCCTCCTCCCGTGTCCACGCCTTCAGCAGCAGACCGCACAGTCTTTCGTTTGGTTCGCACCCAGGTCGAGCTAGCGACGCCTTGGGCGAGTGCTGTGCACTTGGGCCGTCGTGCCCCAACGAGGGTCATCACCTCGGCCCCTGGACGGGACCTCCTGGGCCACGAGGGTGGGGAGGAGGAGGGAAGAACGTCCAGGATCCAGGATCGGGGCTTTGAAACGTGCTTGGCCGTTTGTCGTCTTCTTCCTCGACGTCTGGAGATGGCCGGGGGCCTCTGAAGACCACTGGAGGTTCCCAGGGGACTGTCGCTCAGGCCTCTTGCGTTCAATGACCAGTGGCCTGGTCAATGCAGCATTCGCGCTTGGCTATGGGTTGCCAGCCGGTTCTTGAGAAGCGGTGAAGATGCAGCGTTTCGCCTCATCGTTTGCTTCGCGTCGCCCCGGCAGCATTCCAAGGCCAAGGCGACCAAGCTGGCATCACTGCATGATGTTCAGGTGGCCAACAGTGCTTGTAAACACTAGGGCACGGACTGCCAGATGGGCCGAACTGTTGTTCACCCTCGCTTCGGTTCCCCGCGTGCAGTGATCCGTGACAGATCCAAGATTCTTCGAGGGAGCTTATTCAAATCATGTCATCTTGCCCCCCTGGTCAGCGGGAAAGTGGCCTCGAGCAGCGGCCCCGGCCAGCCACGCTTCTGGTCCACTCCAGGACAGTTCCAGAATCTGTCGGGCCCAGCATGCCTGGAGCGTGGCCTGCCGGTTGTGGCCGTGTCCAGTGCGGGTGCGCGCTCGACCACAGCGCACCTCCCGCCGCCCGAGGTGGTGCCATGGAGCTGGCAGCGTATCCATGTTGGTTCAAGAGCCACCTGGCCCAATCAACGGTTTCCTGGTGCTGGCCCTCTCGGCCAACGCGATTGTCGCACCGGCCATCCCGCGGAAGCGTTTCTGACCACAATGGAAGCTCCGCAGGCTGCCGGGCAGCTGCGACAGGCAGCCGTGCAGCAGCAAACACAAGTCGATCCAGAGGCCTTGGAGAGGGACACGTTCGAGGCTGCAGGTGCGCGGCAAAGAAGCAGTGAGGCGTCCGCGTCTGCCAGGAGTGGTGATGCTAGGCCGCGACCGGGCCGCACGCACGTCACAGTCGGCGACGCCGAGCTCGCTGAGCCTCCAGGCGACTACCTCGCAATGGACGACAGCGAGCAGTCTTCTTGCTGTGGGCGAGTGATGGACCTCTTCGTTGACTGGGTGAATCCACGACTTGCGAGGTACAGCAACAGTTTCAGCATTGCCTTAGCAATCATGGCCGTTCAGGCGATCTTGGTTTGCAGCTTTGCAACTAGGTATCGGATCACGGGAGGTTCTGTAGAAGCTGGCCTCCACGACGCACGAGATTTGGACGACATGTGGGCTGATCCTGATACTTACGTGTGTGCAACACGCGAGGCAAATGACGATGCGTATGAGGGCAGGAAGCTCTGGTTGCAGGAGTACTCCAGCTCTGCGCACACCGACACCTTATACTGGAGCAGTTCGTCCAGCATGCTGAAATACTCGTACGAGTTTGAGCTGCCAGAGGCAGGAGCAAACTCACAGGGGGATTTCAAAGATGACAGATGGTTGCACGTGTTCGCTAATTTGGCATTCAACGTATCTTGCAAGCTGCCTTCAAGCAGCTTCTCGCGGGAGGCGTGCAATTTGCGGCCGCACAGTAAGTTCTTCTATGCCGACTCAGGCATTGCGGCAGAGGCCCAGGCAAAGTGGTTGGGGGCTTTGCTCGAGAAAGCGCGCAAGATGTTCAACTGGAACGGTTCAGTACAATCTGATGTTGGAGTCTTGAATGTAATTCAGAACGTTTCATGGCAGCGAAGGCGCTATAGTTGTCCCGCGCGCGACTTGATCAAAAAGAGTTATGCGCACACGCTTGATGAATGCAAAGGGAGGTGCTCGAAAGTAGAGGGCTGCAGGTATCCAGCTGCCTGCCGCAAATCCCGCCACCGTGCTAGCGCAGCAGCGCAGCAGGAGGGAAACTGAGCTTCAGACCCGCTCCACTTTGAGTGCCCCGCTTGGGCTGGTCTGGCTCTTCAACGCTCCCTCTCTGGCCGCCGCCTTGTTGTCCTGCTCCTTCCTCTTAGCTCATCGTTTTCCTTCGCTTCCCTCTTGAAGGCAGGTTCGAGGCGTCGTGGGATCCTGGGGGATTTGTGACGTGTTCGCTGTGGGTTCGTCGCGGTTCTCACACCTGTCTTGGGCGCGATGGCTAGACCGAGCTTGCCCGAAGAGGCTTGATCAAACCATGTTGGGGACGTCGTGGCTGATTTCGGGGCCATTTTGGAGGCATCTTGGGGCGTCCTCGGGGGTTATTTGGTAGGTTGGGAGCCTTCCTGTCTTGTGGTTGGCGCTTCCTGGAGCTCGCTGAAGTCTTCTTGATGCGATCTGCAGCTGGTAAGTCTCGGGCGCAAGCTGCAAAGCATGTTTTTCCCAACCATCCTGTGGTGTTGGGTCCTCGTTTTGAAGAGACAGCGCCCCGCGTTCACTCCTCCTCCTCCCGCTGCCCCCTCCTCCTCTCATCAGCATCATCATCATCGTCATCATCATCATCACCATCATCATCATCATCATCATCATCATCATCATCATCATCATCATCATCATCATCATCATCATCACCATCATCATCACCATCATCATCACCATCATCATCATCATCATCATCATCATCATCATCATCACCATCATCATCGTCATCATCATCGACATCGTCACCGTTACCGTCCTCGTCGTTATCATCATCATCACCCATTTCGGCGCACCATTCACACGTTTCGTGGCCCCACAGGGAGCTCCACCGAAGGCCCCACTGGGGGTGCCCGCATGCGTCCGCCACGCCCAGTGCAGCGTTTCGTGGCCCCAGAGGGAGCTCCACCGAAGGCCCCAGTGGGGGTGCCCGCATGCGTCCGCCACACCCAGTACAGCGTTTCGTGGCCCCATAGGGGGTTCCACCGAAGGCCCCAGTGGGGGATGCCCGTATGCGTCCGCCACACCCAGCGCAGCGTTTCGTGGCCCCGCAGGGAGCTCCACCGAAGGCCCCATTGGGGGTGCCCGTATGCGTCGGCCACACCCAGCACAGCGTTTCGTAGCCCCATAGGGGGCTCCACCGAAGGCCCCAATGGGGGGGGGTCGCATGCGGTTACCCCGCCCATGGCAGCGTTCCGTTGCCCCATGGGGAGCTCCGCCGATGGCCCCAGTGGGGGGGTCGCATGCGGTTCCCCCACCCAGGGCAGCGTTTCGTGGCCCCATAGGGAGCTCCACCGATGGCCCCAGTGGGGGTGTTCGCATGCGGTTCCCCCACTCAGGGCAGCGTTTCGTGGCCCCATAGGGGGCTCCACCGAAGGCCCAACTGGGGGTGTTCGCATGCAGTTCCCCCGCCCAGGGCAGTGTTTCGTGGCCCCATAGGGAGTTCCGCCGATGGCCCCAGTGAGAGGGGGTTGCATGCGGCTCCCCCACCCAAGGCAGCATTTCGTGGCCCTATAGGGAGTTCCACCGAATGCGCGGAGTGTGCCGAAAATGAGTGCGGCAGGCGCATGCGAGCGAAGCCACTGGGGCCTTCCGTGGAGCTCCCCGTGAGGCCACGAATCGTGTGAGGAGTGTGCCGAAACGGGCGGCGGTGCCATGCGAACCTTCTCACTGAGGCCTTCGGTGGGGCTCCCTACGGGGCCACGAATCGTGTGAGGAGTGTGCGAAAATTGGGCGGCGGTGCCATGCGAACTCTCCCACTGAGCCTTCGGTGGGGCTCCCTATGGGGCCACGAAGCGTGTGAGGTGTGTTCCGAAATGGGTGCGGCGGGTGCACGCGAGCGCAGCCACTGGGGCCTTCGGTGGAGCTCCCTATGGGGCCACGAATCGTGTGAGGGGTGTGCCGACATGGGGCGGCGGTGCCATGCAAACCCTCTCACTGAGGCCTTCGGTGGAGCTCCCTACGGGGAAACGAAGCGTGTGAGGGATGTGCCGAAATTGGGCGGCGGTGCCATGCGAACCGTCCCATTGGGGCCTTTGGTGGAGCTCCCTATGGGGCCACGAAGCGTGTGAGCGGTGTGCCGATGTGGGGCGGCCGTGCCATGCGAATCCTTCCGCTGGAGCCTCAGGTTGAGCTGCCTATGAGGCCACGGAACGTGAGGGGTGTGCCGAAATTGATTGGGGACGCATGGGTGAGGATGATGGGATGGTGATGGAGGGGGGGGAGGGAGGAGGCGGTGAGGAAGGACGAGGAGAGGAGACGCGGGGCGCTGTCTTTCAAAGCAATGGCCCAACACCACAGGATGGTTGGGAACCATATTCTGCGATGGGGCATAATCGTATGACAGAGGGGGGACCTATCACGACAGGGTAAACATAACCGAAGAGAGGGATGGTGACATCCTCTAACACAATACCATACAGCAACACGGGCGAAACTATAATACATCAGGGTCCATCACAGAGCATGCTACAATGTAGCATAGCAGAACACCTTATAATGTCACCTGGCAAGCTGGAACCGTACATAAGAGAACAGGACACAGCATGGTATACAACGCCAAACGACAACACACGAGCGTAGGACAGTACATACCGTTGCATAGTCTAATAGGGTAGTACATCACATACCATATAAACATGTGATATACCAGAACGGACGAGCGTGATACACATAGCAAATCATTGCAGCACAGTGCAGACCATACCACAACACACCAGACTAGAACACACGATAAGCGAACCCGCTATAGCATCGTATGGTCTAGCGGACTAGACAGACACACAATATAGCAGGGCATAGCAATATTGTCGTATGGGAGAGGAGGACAGCGCCGATTGGCACCTGCCATAACACAAACACGCATTGTTTACCATGGTACACAACGAGGGAGCGTATCACCGTAAACATCACACATGATAACGGTGGGGCATGGCAAATCATAATACCAGATGGCATACTTTCACATGGTATAGAGGAATTCAACAGAGTATAACATACCGACATGTAGTTCAGAAACGGATGCAACACAGCACATAATGATGCAACACCATGGCATTGTGGCTGTAGACCTTATACAATACATTCGGCGCGACTGTCTGCCACAATTTGCTCTGTCCGTGTCCTCTGCCTTAGTTTTGCAAGCATTGTTTCAATAGGCCCGCGCACCGTTGGGGACTAACGCCGAAGGTTTTGGTGGGGATCGCTCGAAGCAGAATCATTTCATTGTTGTTGACATCTTCGGGCCTCGTTGGAGGCTTGTTTGGGCGCTTGTTGGAGGCTTCTCTGGCGCACGCTGGAGAGACCTCGGAGACTCGAAGGGCCTTCTCGGGATGAGCTTGGAGCGTATTGCAGCCGTTTGGTATCGTAAAAGCCGAAAAGGGCGCCGAGGAGCAAAATCAGAAGGGGCGGTCAGGACAGATCTTCGGAAGACGCGCGCGTGAAGGGCGGTAAGACACCAGTAGGCAGCCTACCATACAATGAAAAAGCATCCTAACACGCCTCAGCGTGCCATTGTGGCGGACATCTCATATGAAGCTGGTGGGGATGACCCCATGATAAATCACTCGTGGGGGTGGATGTGCAAACTTTTTCGTAATTGCTCGGAGGACTACCCTGACTATGCAGAGACTCATAGGCTAAGAGGTCCAGAACGTGCATGGGTGATCGCTTGGAGCAGCAGGGGCCTGCGGGACTTGGGCGCGCTTCGGAGAGAGTTTTCAGAGCCAGGATTCAGTTGGCCTTGCCACACGCGCGGCCGATCTTGTTCCGAGTACAACTGCAGGGGCCGGCAAGACATTGTCTGTTCAGATGACCTACTTTGCAGTGGCGACGTGGTTGCGATCAAGAGAGTGAAGGACTTGCCCTGGAAGCAGTGCTTCCCACTGGCTTTAGCCTTGGCCGCTTACCTGGAAGTGTCGGTAACGATGCTCGTGCTGTGCTTCGCCTTCTGCGTCACGAGAGGGCCATGCTGGATGAGGCAAAGAGGTACTCGCTCTGAACTTATTCGCGTGTCAAGGCGGCTGGTTCTTCAAGACCAGCGCCTGACGTCTCCGGCGCCGACGGTGTGTGAGCTTCAGCACATGAGCAAGGGCACGAGGGTTGGCTAGATTGAAGAAGAAACAGGCTGCCTAAACGTAAGCCGTCGGAGGTCCGCGTGGATTTCTTGGATCGGCACTGGACCCCCCGCCCCTGCGCACGGACGGAGGCGTCGCCAGGAAGGTCAGCGCCGATCGAAGAAACCTGCGTGGACCTCCAGCAGTTCATGTTTGAACTATGTTTCTGCAGATTTTTTGTCCTGTGCGAGACATGCTCGCAGGATGCAGCGAAGAGGGCGAGCAGAACCTGGCACACTGGGGAAGCACGTGCCACGGAATGGCCACTTTCAGCCGAGCGGATGCGAACGAGGATTGGCTAGAGAGACTCGCTTGCAGAACGCAGCGAAGAGGGCGACGAAAACATGGTACAGTCGGACCGAAGTACAAGATCGAGGTCGGTTCGGGTAGGGTGCCCTAGTGTTCTTCGTGCTTAGTGGATTTTCTGATGCATCCTTGGATGTTCTGTTTGATTGGGCCGACGGAGGGTCTCGTGTTCTTGAGGGATATTCTTCTGGCCTGGGTCCGCCTGTACCGTTGCCCTCCCCTCGTCGCCACGGTTGGACTCGCCCCGAAATCTTGGTTGTCAGAGAGCTCCCAGGAGAGGTCCGTGAGAGTAGCGGTCCGTGGAGTGACGGCATGGGATTATGTTTGGCCCCACAGGTTCGTGAGCCAGCCCCGGAGATACACGGTGCTGCCGTCGCGGCGCGTTTCTGCACCGTCGCCTGGCGGGCACTCTGCACGACTGCGCCGCACCGTGTCACCGCTGCAGCGCAGCATGATTGCCGCGTTGTTTTGTGACGGGGCCCTTCGGTGCATCTTTGGGCGTGCATCTATGGGGCCTCTCGGGAGGCTCCCTGGGCCTCTTGAGTGTCTTGTCTCGGGGCCCCTGCCATGCAGGCACGTGCGCTCAGACGGCGAGGGGGAGAGGAGGGAAAGCTCCACCTTAGACGTCCTCCCACTCATCCCTTCTTCCTGTCCACGCTCATGGCTCGCCGTAGGAATCCTGGCCGTGCCTGCCGCGTTCTCGCCGCAGGAGATCTACCAGTGTGTCGGGGGCGTAGACGAAGATGGGACGGGGCACGATGAGGAGGAGGAGGGAGGAGGCGGAAGGATAGCGATGATGATGATGATGATGATGATGATGATGATGATGATGATGATGATGATGATGATGATGATGATGATGATGATGATGATGATGATGACGATGATGATGATGATGATGATGATGATGATTATGATGCTGATGATGATGATGACGATGATGATGATGATGATGATGATGATGATGATGCTGCTGATACTGCTGATGATGATAACGGTGATGATGAAGATGATGGTGGTGGTGGTGGTGGTGATGATGCTGCTGATGATGATGAAGATGCTGATGATGACGATGTTTATCAGTATGGTGATGATGCTGATGCTAATGATAGTTATTATGCTGTTGATGATGATGGTGTTGGTGTTAGTGTTGGTGTTGGTGGTGGCGATGATGACAGGGTTGTTGATGATGACGATGATGATGATGCTTGTGATAATGATGATGATGATGATGATGATGATGATGATGATGATGATGATGATGATGATGATGATGCTGATGATGATGATGATGATGATTATGATGATGATGAAGATGATACTGATGCTGATTATGATGATGATGCTGATGATGATGGTGATGATGATGAAGGTGATGATGATGGTGGTGATGATGGTGACGATGGTGGTGGTGGTGATGATTCTGAAGGTGGTGGTGGTGATGGTGATGATGGTGATGCTGATGATGGCGATGCTGATGATGCTGATGATGGTGACGATGATGACGATGCTGACGATGATGATGTTGTTGTTGTTCATGCTGCTGGTTATGCTGACGTTGGTGAGGATGCTGATGATGCTGATGATGTCGATGATGCTGCTGATGGTGCTGATGATGCTGATGTGATGATGATGATGAAGATGAGGATGAAGACGATGATGATATTGGTGGTGGTGACGGTGATGGTGATGGTCCTGATGCTGGTGCTGATGCAGATGCTGATGTCGATGCTGCCGCTGCTGATGATTAGTATGCTGCTGCTGATGCTGTTGATGCTGGTGATGATGATGATGTTGATGATGATGATGCTGATGATGATGGTAGTGGTGATGATGATGAATGTGACTATTATTATGATGACGATGATGCTGGCGATGATGAAGATGATGCTGATGATACTCATGCTGTTAATGATGACGCCGGTGATGCTGATGATTTTGCTGCTGCTGATGATGAATAGGTTGATGATGCTGGTGATGATGATGCTGTGATATGATGATGATGATGCTGATGATTTTGCTGCTGCTGATGATGAATAGGTTGATGATGCTGGTGATGATGATGCTGATGATGATGATGATGATGATGATGATGATGATGATGATGATGATGGTGATGGCGATGATGATGCTGATGCTGCTGCTGCTGATGCTGATGATTATGATGATGATGATGATGATGATGATGATGATGATGATGATGATGATGATGATGATGATGATGATGATGATGATGATGATGAGGATTATGATGAGGATGATGAGGTTGGTGGTGACGGTGATGATGTTGGTATTCATGATGCTGGCGGTAGAGACGATGACGATGATTACGGTGTTGATGCCCGTGCGGGGGCAAGGAGACAGAGCCGAGGAGGAGGAGGAGGAGGAGGAGGAGGCGGAGGGAGGGAGGGAGGGAGGATGGAGGAGGCGGGCGGTGGAGGGAGAGGGAGGAGAAACACGAGAAGACGGGGAACGGAAGCGGGAGGCAGGAGAGGGGACGAGAGAGGCGGGAGTGGGGGAAGGTGAGGAAGAAGGAGGAGTGCGAAGAGGGATGATGCGAGGGATGCGGGG